ATTACTTTAACAGCAAGAAAATGAAAATACAAAATGGAAAATTGGAACAGAGCTTTCTTTTTTAAATTCAAAATTTATGGAATTTCCAATTATAAAATTATCTCTACTCCATAAATGTTACATTATGAATATACGAAGGAAACTAGTAATAGTGATACACGTATATATCTCCCAAGTGTACAAAATAAAACCAACCAAGGTATACAATAAATTATCTTCCCTAATTGGCCTTACCCAGAGATTGCATACCACTGAAAGACACCCTACCAAAACCCAGATGACCAATCTGGTACAATTCTAACCAAACCCTCTCTGCCTCCAGCCTGGCACTCACACACTCCATTTGCTCTGATGAAATTTCTGGCATTCTTTCCTCTTCTTCTCTCTCCACCTCACACTGACGATGGTGATCATCATCATCATCATCATCAATACTGCTGCATTTTCTCTTGCTTTTACGCTTTTGCCCCTTGGATTTCCCCAGTCCCAAACACTTCCTGCCCACCATCCAGGGCACTTTAACGAAGGCAAGAGTGAGAAGATTCAGCAAAGCGCAGGGGCAGCAGCAGAGTGCCACGCAGTCGGCTATCAAAGCGCCGCTGCATGACTTGCAATACTTGCCAGAGCACTCGATCCGGTCCCCCGCGTCATCCACGGCGTACCGGCTCTTCCTTGGGGTTGTGTGTCCTGCAGCTGAGGATGTGTCGCCCTGATGATCGGATGACGTCCCGCGTTTACGTGACGACCGAGGTGGGTTAATCTCGTCCATCTGGATTATCTGACCTGCAAAAAATGATGAGAAAACTTTCAACTCCGATGAATTTGTATGCGGGTGCTGGGTTTGGAATGAGGAGCATATATCTTGATACCAAGTTTATATGGGAGAGGGCTTTCCAACTTACCACGTAAGGGAATATGAAAGATATTGCTTCATGCATTTTTATCTTGTTAATTACACAAGGGTAAAAGGGTCCATGTAAATATTTTGAAGGGAAGAACGATATAGAGATTCACGCGCAGCCAACTCGATTGAGCCCACTTCGATAGGCTATTGGAAATAAGAAGGAAAAAACACTTGTCTTGACGGTATAAGTTATATAATTAAGGATCTTTCTTCAAATAATACTTGTATTTGGTTTTGTATTTTCGTTTTTAAAGTGTTACGTAAATTTAAGTTTGATTTGTATAATTGTAAGATCCATTGAATAACTTCCCTTTCATCCTCAAGATTTCTCTGATATAACCGAGATTTAGGAAGAATAAGCAAAGATGACACACCAAATCAATATATGTGCTAAATCCCTAATTGAATCACATCCAAACCAAATAAGTCCTAACTAAGCTATCTATCTACTAACCCTAATATTTCCTTAGATTTGAGTACTGAGAATATCTATAGATCTAGTGTTCGAGAAAATAATATACAATTGATTCCAAATTTATTTTACAATCTTACCTACATTTTGTTCATTAAAGGAAGGTTTAATACTATCCAACTTTTTTTCTTTGGGACTGAGCGATTTCAATTTGACTGGCTCAGAATGTTTTCAAACTCTAATAGTACTTAGGGTGTCACCTAAATCCCTTGTTTTCTTGGAATTTTTGTGTACGAAACATCCATGCTGTGACAGAGATTACATATAAAACTTACCTACAAAGTAATGGATGTACAAAAATGTTTTCTTTTTTTCACTGGTTTTGGCAGATAAAACCAAAAAGGGCTTGAATGACAGATATACCCTATTACCATGGTTTTTCATGTGAAGTGACAGGCAATGCGAATGAGGCAGCTGTTCACTACTTCACTGGCGAGCCAGGGCAAGTTGGTAAAATGGAGTGGTGTTAAAGATGAGAGAAAGAGAGAGATACTGCAGAGCAGTAACTCTGTTTTTCCTTGAATGAAAAAGGTGAGGTTGAAAATGGAAATGAGAGTGAGACGAGACACGTCAGGCAGAGGCCAAGTTTATGAATAAGTTTCCCTCAATGTGTTTTCGTGAAACGAACGATCACTTCATGTCCCATGCCTAATTTAGCTCTGGAGCAATTCCTGCTCTGCCCTATC